GAAAAAATTCTCTGATGATGACTACATTATTTTTGCTCTATGTGGTTGATATGGTGACTGTTGGTCAGAATTAATAACTTAAAGAAACAGCTAAGTAAGTCTTTTGCTATGAAAGACTTGGGACCAGCAAAGCAGATTCTTGGCATGAAGATTACAAGGAATCGAAGAGCCAAGAAATTAAGATTACAAGGAATCGAAGAGCCAAGAAATTATGATTGTCACATGAGAAGTACATTGAGAGAGTACTTCAAAGGTTTAGAATGGAAAATGCTAAAGTGGTTAGTTATCCTCTTACTAATCACTTTAGATTGAGCTCTAAACAGTGTCCTTCTACGAACGGAGAGAAGGAAGAAAAGGAAAAGATTCCATATGCTTCAGCAGTTAGAAGATTGATGAATGCCATGGTTTGTACACGGCCAGATATTGCTCACTCGGTTGGAGTTGTGAGTCGGTTTCTTTCAAATCCTGGAAAGAAACATTGGACTGCAGTGAAATGGATTTTCATGATATCCGATCACATTTGCAGGGGGAGCCGTGTCGTGTTGTCATGAATATACGGCGATCGAATTGGCAGGGGGAAGGCCGTGTCGTTGGCAAGTCAAGATTACAGGAAGTGGGTGTTGCTTGCTGTCAACACTAAGGCAAAAGGAGAAGTCTGAGCTGTGTGTCCCAAAAGCGCCAAGAATGGAGATCCCACCAAATGTCGGTCGGAGGGGGGAGAAATTGTTGTGGGGGGGTCCGCCTCCGAAACATTGTGGGACCAGCACATACAGTGTTGGAAACAAGTAAAAACAACACGTTTTTGTTTAGAAAAGGAATCAAAGTGGCGAGAGCGAAAGTTATTCAGAAAGTTGGCAACAGCGAAGGCCAGTGACATAATGGGAGAGCCAGTACGTATATCACACACGACTCCTCACATTACTTTCTCTCGGTAACCGTGCCTAGGTAAATTAGAGGGCAGATGCACCTGCAACAATACAGCACAGCAGAAAGGACGAAGAAAAAATGTAGAGAGAGTCAAGTTGTCTAGGTTTTAGGAAGGGTTTCCTAAAACTAGGGGAGAGAAAAATAGTGAGGAAACTATTTTGGGGTGTTTTTGAGAAACACTTTGAGTGCCACTATTTTTGTATTACTCTCTTTGTGTACCTACTATTTTTTAATAGTGGAAGAATTATTCAAAGTTTGTCCTGTGGACGTAGCCCCTAAACAGTTGAGGGTGAACCACGTAAATTTTTGTGTCTCATTTCTATTTTTCTGTTGCGTTAATTTTCTCTTAATTGGTTGAAAGGGCCCAACGAATGGTATCAGAGCTGAAGCAAGTGGTACCTAAGGCCCAACAAGTGGTATCAGAGCTGATGCCCAAAAACTGGTATCAAAGCTGATGCCCAATAACTGGTATCAAAGCTGATGCCCAATAACTGGTATCATAACACTTTCAGTGTCTCGAGTCGCAGTTCAAAACCGAACTGCCATTATACAAAAATACAAAGAGTCAAAGACGTGGGTCGCTGCTAATATAGAATATACTGAGCTTCTTACTCCAAAAAAATACTTTCTAGAAACAAAGGGTTAGGCAATTTTGGTTATCTGAGGTGATCAAAGTAGCACGTTATGTGCAAATTGAAAACCAATTATGGGAGTTGGGTTAATTGGAGTAGTGGCTTGAGGGATTTTATCACAAATGATTTTAGGGACTTATTCATAGCTCAGGGTCATGATAGGGAAGATGTCTTGCATCGTGTAGGTGAATTTTTGATGGTCAAATTGCCAGAATGATAAATTCAGTGCTCCTTTCTCAGTTTAAGAACTTAAAGATGCTATTTCTCTATGCATCTAAAAAATGCTCCAAGGCCTAAAGTTCTTAATCCGGCTTTCTATTAAAATTTTTAGGGTATAAAAAAGATGTGATGAATGGGTGCTTGAAAATCTTGAATAATAGGTTCATTCCTCCTGATCTAAATTAAAGTATATAGTCCTTATTCTAAAAAAGATTAAGCCTAAATTTATAACTGAGATGCGCCCTATATCTCCATAATAAGGTTTTCTATAAGATTATTACCAACGTTATTGCTAATCATTTGAAAAATATTCCAAAGATTTGAAAGATCGCAAAGTACCTTTGACTAAAGGAAGGCTCATAAAGGACAATGTTTTAGTGGCATTTGAGGTCATGCATACCATTAAGAGAAAAATGTTAAGACCAAATTTTGGATATGAGGAAAACCTATAATAAACTAGAGTGGAGATTCCTTACAGCCATTTTGATTTGAATGGGGTTTCAAATTCCTTGGGTAAATTTGCTAATATCTCGCATGAAATCAATTTCTTACAATATGTTGTGTAAAACTATTGAATATGGTCCTATTTTCCCTTCTGGCAAGCCATGTTATTTTCCACCTGTTTTTCGTTGATGACAACCTCCTATTTCAAAGCTAACGGAAGATAAGCTAACAAAATTAGCAAGCTTTGTTAGGATAACAAGCTTGGAGGCTCCTGAAATTCCCTACTTCTCTTGTTGCCCAGATATTTAGAGCAAAATATTATCCTAATTCCTCTTTTTCTTTTTTTCTTTTTTTTTTTTTTTTTTTTTTTTTAGTATTAGAGCGAAAATATTTATCCCTAAGTTCCGTCTTTGTCTGTTTTTGTCTTTTTTTTTTTTTTTTTTTTGTTTTGTTAAGGGCGCAAGGCTAAGTTTTCGATATCTAACTATAAGCATTGGGAGACTTAACGGCAGCCCAAAAGTTTTCGTTAAGACGAGGGGTGCTGCTAGAGGTTGGTGAATGGAAAGAGAGCGGATGCAGACATGATTGGTAGGACGACATGTTGCGAAGCTGCTAGATGCCTCCTTTATGCAGTTTCATTCTGAGTAGAAGGGAAGGGAAAGAAAAAATAAGAGAAAGAAACTAAGGAATGCAACTAACCTCACTATTCCATTCTTATTGTTCCCATCTGGGTTTAGATTTAAGAAGAAAAATAAAAGTTATTGGTTTCAACTTGAATTTGGGGAAAGAACAAATTAGTAATGGAAAGGAAAATGGTATTATTGTAGAATTTTACATTTTTACCCATATCATGAAGATATAAAATATTGATAATTAATAAAAGCTAATAGAGTGTTGATAATTTATGTAGATTCTGAGTACTGAAATAAAGACAAGCATGAGGACAATCTCAAAGATTTTTGTTTCTAGTTATTAAATTTTTTTTTTGTAAATTAAATAAATTAGAAATTAATAATCTATTTCTCACCTAAATTGACAAGACTTTGAAGGTTGTGAGTTAACGAAAGAATAGATGATGTGTCTTGAACAAGTAAGTTTTTCCCATTTTTTTTTTTTTTTTTTTTTTTTTAAGGCCAAGCTAGTTTCAATCTAACTATGCTTGGAGAAGCTTAACGGCAGCCCAAAATTTTCTTAAGACAGGGTGCTGCTAGAGGTTGGTAATGGAAGAAGCATCAACATTTGGTAGGACACATGGCTTGCAGACTCTAATGCCCCTTTTATCATTTCATTCTGATAGGAAGGAAAGGAAAGAAAATAAGAGAAAAAACTAAGGAATGCACTACTCACTTTCCATTCTTATTTTCCAATCTGTTTAGATTAAAAGAAAAATAAAATTATTTTCACTTGTTTGGGAAAGAACAAATTATAATGGAAAGAAAATGGTATTATTGTAAAATTTACATTTTTACCCCATATACATGAAATATAAATATTATATTAATAAAACTAATAAGTTTATAATTTATTAATTCTGATTATGAAATAAAACAACATAACAATTCAGATTTTTGTTCTATTTATTAATTTTAAATTAAATAATTAGAATTATATATCTATTTCTTCACCTAAATTGACAAGACTTTGAATTTGATAACGAAGAATAGATGATGTTCTTGAACAATAATTTTTCCCCTTGCCTTTTCAATATTTTCTCTCCAAAACACAGAGAATCAAAATTGGTAGACCCAAAGGAAAGTTAATGTTATTTTCCTTCCCTCACTATTTTCCACCATATTCCCAAACAAAGATTTTAACTTTCTTTTCAAATTTTACTTCCTTATTTTCTTTCCTCGCAAAAACACCCTGTTCCAAACAAACTGTAAGATTCTAATCAGACAAATTTACACGTCAGCAATCTCTTGTTGGTGAATGACAAGCAATGGAATATGGATTTTGTTGCTTCACTATTGGAAGAAAAGGATGTTAATTTAATTCAATAATCCTTTTGGTCTCAAGGGTATTTAAATGCAGTAAGAAGAATTGCTTGAAGGTAGGGGGTGAGCAAAAATTCTGATTGAACTGAATTAAAAATCAAATCAATCCATTTTGGTCAGGTGTTCGAGAGATGTTTGGTTAATTAATTTGTTTGGTTTGAACTAAATTTATTATTCAATTTGCAATAAAAAAAAAATTCATTGATTGAACTTAAGACGAACTGAAATGATAAAAATCAATAAAAATAGACCAAACTAGCCGGTTCAGTTTAGTTTAAATTTAAATATCAATTTGGTTCAGTCTGTTATAAAAATTCAGTTTGTATTTTATGGCCTCGGTTCGATTTTGACGGTTTGCTCAGCCTACTTGAACGTACTTTCTTTTTGCTTCCAAGATCCTATCAGTTTAGGAAGATTAATTAGCTAATAATAACTATTTTTTCTAATTGAAGAGATCCTGATTTTTTTTAATAAAACTATATTTTTAATCTTTAAAACCTCATGGAAGGGAATCGAATCAAATCAATATATATAATTATATTAATTACACCAATCCGCCAACTATTGTTCACCAGCACCGATGATTATTGGCCTGTCTTTGTTGACTGCAATATGATTATAAAAATTATTTATATAATCCATTCAATTCATTTATTGTTTTAAATTGTTATAATTTGTCTTTTTTTTTTTTTTTTTTCATTGCCTTAAATATAAAAAACGATATTTTAATATAAACGCGATCAAAATTGTTTTTGCGCGCATAAATACATTCAAACGACAACAGCTAAACGGCCCAAGTTCAATAACCGAAAGCCGCCACCGCAGTACTTTGTTGTTTAGCCAACCTACCTTCCTCACTGAAAGATGCTATGGCAATCCAACTATTTATATCTGAAGATCTCAATGACTCAATCTGTGTACATCTTTGACCACTAACTAGGTAGTGGACAGAAGGAGAGAAAGACAGGGGGGAGACAAAGGAAATGGCAGCTATTTCCTTGTGTGGTGTTAATTTGAGAATCGGAGGGAAGTCGCAACAGCAGCCGCCTCCTTATGCTTCCGCGTGTCCGCCTTCTGCTTCTTCCTCATCGAAGTCAAATAAGCTCTTCTCCTCCTCCTCTCAATTGTCATTTGCTTCTAGTAATTCTTTTATTTCTTTTCGTTCCAATCAAACCCTAGTCTCTCCTCGTCTTGCGAAAATCCCAAATCCAGCGCTGGTAAGCACCGGGAAATTGCTTGTTTTGTAATTGCGTGAAATTGTGGTGGTTGAGCTTCCGTTTATGGCAATGAGCAGGTTGTAGCATCAGCTAAGCCAGAACCACTGAAGATAATGATATCAGGAGCTCCTGCTTCGGGTAAAGGTACTCAATGTGAGATCATCACGAAGAAAGTAAGCTTTTTCCTTTGTATGCCTTTCTTTAATCCCTTCTGTTCTCCCTTTTGGGAAGAGAGTTGTTTTCTTCTCCTTGTGTCAGCTTTTTCTGATATTGCTAAGGGCAGCAGGCGATCCTTTTTTAAATTTATGTTAAGCATGTGTTGATTCAAAGATTGATCTGCTTTATTTCACAACGAGAATTGCCTGGTTTTTTTTCTTAAGATGCATTTGTTCCTTATATTTGTCTTGTCTATTTATTTATCTGTGTGTTAGAGAAAAGGGAAGAAACTGTGAGAATTTCTACATTGAGATATGGGGTTTTAAATTAACTGAGTTGGTTTAGCAGCTCCTTTTACCAGACTGATATAGTTTCTTAATTTCTTTAGTAAGCTTGGAAAGGATGTGCTTCAGTTAAGTGGTCCTTCCATCAAGGCTGTGTAACAGTTTTGTAAGTAGCTCAAAACGCTAGCGTTCAAACTAGCTTTTAGAGGTTAAGGTAGCCTTTTATAAAAGGTTAAACTATGTAATTTTTAGCTTTGAGCTTACTCAAATAGCTAACACCTAAACGCTATTAAAACAACTAACAACCAAAACAGCTAAGTTTACCAAACATACGCCAAGTATTTGATATTTTATCATCTTAAATCCTATGCTTTAATAACACTTAAGATCAAAATCAATTTGTTTCCTACTTTGACATTTGAAAACTCAACTTCTGATGCAAGAGCATCCAAGTTAAATTAGAAATTCTTTAGTTTTCATTTTTTATTTAGGACGTCTATACAGTATATTAATTAATTAGGAATGTTAGTTTCATTCCTATTTAATAGACTGTTAACTATATTTTTCAGTATAGAATTAAGATTTGTTCTAACTAATATAAATAGAACAGCAGCAATAGTTTTATGGATTGTACTTTATCTCTGTGAACTTACAATTTTTATTCTAAAGGGTTTCTTTGAAACCAATTAGGTCCTTTTGTTCTAATCACAATTACCTGTTCTAATCTAATTGTTGAAACTAATTGCCTAATTTGTTCCCCAGTTCCCCTGCTTCCTTTAGTTGTTTCACTTGTTTTGAGGTTGAAGTGTGATTTGTCAACAGAAACTTTTGACCTTGAAAGGAAGATCCTAAAGATTGGGAATTTTTTTTTTCGAGAAAAAAAATTTTGCTTCAAGAAATAGTGAAATATTATTAACAGTCAAACCAAGTTTGATATATGTTGGTTGAAACTTGGAGTCCATCAACTAGCTGGTTTTACATGTTGAGGCTTGGGCAGGGTTTGCAAGTAGTAGTCACACAGTCAGAGTGAGCTGTTCAAATTGATATGTTGATTTGCTTGAAGTAACTGTGGCCTTTTGGGAGAATTGAAAATCTGTTAGTTGCTAACATTATTACATCTCAAAATTCTAAGTTGGCTACTTGCAGTCCTTAGTCAATGAAATGAAGGATTCTACCATTCTTTCCAAGGCCTGATGTTTAGATACTGGTTCTCAAGCTGAGAAGCAAAAAGAGCCTGAAATTCTGCTCAAGCTTGGCTCATTTAGTTTGACCTATTGGGCTTGGTCAAGTCTCACAAACTGAGCTAAATTCTTTAGTGTGAACTATAGTGGTTATTAGTCGAATAGGAATATTAGTTTGAAATCCTGGATTGTGGCTCTTCTTCCCTCTCCCAATGATATTGTGTGATTGCTAATATCAATTACATTATTTACTGCATGATTTCTCATTTTGTAATTGCCAGTGAAGAAACAGATTGAATGAAGTCATCCTGATGAATGCAGTATGGTTTGGTGCATGTTGCTGCTGGAGATCTATTGAGAGCTGAAATTGCATCAGGGACTGAAAATGGGAAGCAAGCAAAGGAATATATGGAGAAAGGTCAGCTGGTCCCAAATGAAATAGTTGTCATGGTAAGCGTGATGCTACCTTCTCATCTTCCCCTTCTCTTTAAAAGATTATTAGCCTTGATCGTTGTAACATTGTTATTTCATTGTTTTATAATCCTAAAGATGGTGAAGGAGCGTCTGTCGAAGCCAGATGCTCAAGAAAAGGGTTGGCTTTTGGATGGATACCCTAGGAGTGCGTCACAAGCAATTGCTTTTGGGGAAGTGGAATTCAAGCCTGATCTTTTTATTGTCCTAGAAGTAAGTTCTGTCATCTTTTGAGAACAGCATGTGATGCTGTTCTTTCTGGTTCTACATTAGAATGATATGAACTTAATGCTGGCAGGCATCTCTGTGGCAATTTTTTTTTTTTTTTTTTTTTTTTGTTTCTTTCTGGTGTCTAGCATTAGATGATGATGAAACTGAATGCTGGCAGGCATCTCCTGTGGCAATGTGTTTTTTTTTTTATTTTATTTTTGAAGGTATGAGCCTGCATTTTTCGTAGAATTTTTTTTTTTTTTTTTTTTTTTTTTGAGGTCTACCTGCATGTTCGTAGTAAACAATAATTTTAACTACAGAAAAAGAAAACAAAAAGAAAAAAAAAAAGGTGTAATCTTGTTTGAATCTGTGAACCTTTGTCTGTAGGTCCCTGAAGAGATTCTTGTTGAGAGGGTGATTGGACGTAGATTAGACCCTGTTACTGGGAGGATATACCACTTGAAATATTCTCCTCCTGAGACTGAAGAAATTGCTGTGAGACTTACCCACCGCTTTGACGATACTGAAGAGAAGGTATGTCTTAAATCAGACTACAGTTTGAAAAGTTTTACTTCAGCGAACTCTGTCTTCTTTGTTGCTTTAATCATGGCATGTTATTGGTACCATTTAGGGATTGTTTTTTCTTGTCTTGTATGGCTATATTTAGGTGAAGTTGCGATTGCGTACACATAATCAAAATGTGGAGGCGGTACTTTCAATGTATGAAGATGTTACATTAAAGGTATGTTATCTCTTTATAGTCTCTATCTAACTGACTAGGCCATGTTATGAGTCACACGTACTGTCATAGAAGAATAGTGAATGTCTAGTAACTACTACCATGAGGTCGTTGCTAACTGTGAAATCATTTAAAAATATGTGGCAGAGCTTATGCATAAGTTGCTATTGATGCTAAATAAATATGTTAAAAGTAAAAGCAGTTGTTATTGAAGCTGCAGAAGGACACTCCAAATAAACTTATATGAACTTAAGCATGGGAAAGTGATGAATGAATTTTTGAATGGTTGGGATGTTGGAGAGGTGACATATTCAATTACTTGGCTTTATATTTTTAGGTTATCCAATGTCTGTTGTATATATAATTTTTTACTCTGGGGCTTCCTTAAAGGCAATTGAAATTCTTGTCACAGTAATTGCCGGGACTAATGCTAAGCTGAGAATGTAGCACCTTTTTAGGTAATATAAAATGTTTGCCGGGACTAATGCTAAGCTGAGAATGTAGCACCTTTTTAGGTAATATAAAATGTTTGTAACACTTGCGATTGGAATATACGAGATACGAGGAAGATCATTAAAAGATTATCCCCATCCGTACAACATCGACTTTTAAGCTGCACTTTTTGATCATGCGTCATTTTGCAGCTGTATCATTTTCGTTAGCACTTGTTCTCATGTTTAATGCTACATGCTTGTACTATCTGGTGATTTTGTTTATAACAAAAAATATAGGAAAATGAATATTAAATGTTGAGCAATATACAAGGGCATTTGTCATTCAAATTCTTTGTGTAACAGGAAAATCTTGGTACTGATATGACATAGTATCTGTAACAATGCAAGCAAGAGGATTTTAAGGGCTGGCATATCTTGCAATTTCTGTTATACTTTTATAGTCTCTATCTAACTGACTAGGCCATGTTATGAGTCACACGTACTGTCATAGAAGAATAGTGAATGTCTAGTAACTACTACCATGAGGTCGTTGCTAACTGTGAAATCATTTAAAAATATGTGGCAGAGCTTATGCATAAGTTGCTATTGATGCTAAATAAATATGTTAAAAGTAAAAGCAGTTGTTATTGAAGCTGCGGAAGGACACTCCAAATAAACTTATATGAACTTAAGCATGGGAAAGTGATGAATGAATTTTTGAATGGTTGGGATGTTGGAGAGGTGACATATTCAATTACTTGGCTTTATATTTTTAGGTTATCCAATGTCTGTTGTATATATAATTTTTTACTCTGGGGCTTCCTTAAAGGCAATTGAAATTCTTGTCACAGTAATTGCCGGGACTAATGCTAAGCTGAGAATGTAGCACCTTTTTAGGTAATATAAAATGTGTGTAACACTTGCGATTGGAATATACGAGATACGAGGAAGATCATTAAAAGATTATCCCCATCCGTACAACATCGACTTTTAAGCTGCACTTTTTGATCATGCGTCATTTTGCAGCTGTATCATTTTCGTTAGCACTTGTTCTCATGTTTAATGCTACATGCTTGTACTATCTGGTGATTTTGTTTATAACAAAAAATATAGGAAAATGAATATTAAATGTTGAGCAATATACAAGGGCATTTGTCATTCAAATTCTTTGTGTAACAGGAAAATCTTGGTACTGATATGACATAGTATCTGTAACAATGCAAGCAAGAGGATTTTAAGGGCTGGCATATCTTGCAATTTCTGTTATACTTTTATGAGATCTATCTCAAAGAGCTACTTTGTTGATTTCAGGTTGATGGAAGTGCTTCGAAAGAGGAAGTATTTGCCCAAATCGACAGTGCTCTTACAAAGTTACTTGAGGATAGGAAGGCAACTTCAGGATCTCTGGCTGCATAGTCATGGAGGTATAGTAGGAAGATGGGAGAAATTGCATGGTTGTGAATTCCCTGTATGGAGGTGTGTTCTAGATTTGTATAATCACTTTACATAAAAGTCAGTGATTTAATTATCGCTTGCTTGGAAATTACCAGTTTATTATACAAAATTTTTGTCGGCCACTATTATTATTCTTTGAAGTGTAATTTGTGGGAAATTAAATTTCATTCTAATAAAATACAAATAAAACAAAGCAAAATTCTTAGACTGCATGCTTATGGTCATGCAATTTAGTTCTAGCCTTCTAGGGACAAAGTTCTAGTCTTAGTGGCATGGCATTTTGTATCATCTTATCACTCTGCCTAGATGCAAATCTGTTCTAGAGCTGCAATTTCTGTTATGCAAGCGAGCAATGCACACTTTGTTGTCAGCTATAATACATTCTGATGTGTGTTTTGATTAGTCCTCTATTTCACTCTAAGCACATACGAGAGTGATATATTTCATAACTTTGAAATTTTACTATCAAACAAAAATCATAATTTAGTAAGTATGTTGTTTTTGCTTGTGTTATCGGCAAAAAATATTGATAATTGTGATGGCAATGGTGGTAGCAGTGGTGATGGCAGCGAAGACAAGTAGACAAGTGGTCCATTGATGGCCTATCATGTTGCAGGTAAGGTTTCATTGATGAAAATTATGGTTTCTCTATTTTTCTGAAGTAGATGTTCATATTTATAATTGTAGGATGGTAAGTGAAATTTAGCCAATTGCTTTTTGAACAAGCAAGACACTTCAAAAACCCGAGTCTGAACTCCACCCCAAACCCCTATGCAACCATTTCTACCACCTGGATATTGTCCTTTTTGTTCAGTGTTGGAATTGAGACGATGAGATTTTATATTTAGGGCTTGTTTAGTAAAATAGTTCTGGTTAGCTGCTAGCATTTTGTGGTTGGGCTTAATTTCATGATTACATTTTTATTTTCGTGAACAAAACCCTTGATGCTTGTCCATGTGTTACGCATGAGTGCATCGCTGCTAGGGATGTGCAAACTAAATCAGTCAAACTGAACTTTTAAAATACAAACTGGCTCGAATTGAAATAGTGCTCAGGATCTAGTTGACTCGAACCAAACTGATTTGAATTGGTTGGCTTTTTGAAGGTATTTTTCGGATCAGCTCAGTTCTAAAGTTTTATTTTAGCTTCATGAAACTGAGATTGAACCTAAAAAGAATTTTAGTTTATCCATTTAAATTGAAAATCAAAGCTCTTATATGAACAGCTTCAAATCGAATCGAACCAGTTCAGTTTAATCAAGTCAACCCCGACTATGATTAGCAAACTCTTATGACAGACATTATAAAACTATGATTAGCTAACTCTTATGACAGAAATTATAAAACAATGATTTAAGAGAATTAAAGAATTGAAACTTATTATTTAAATTTATTGTTGTATTTCCAATAGATGAATATAAAATTTAAAAAGAATATCTTAATTATGAATTATTTAAGAACTATAATTACAATTCAATTAGACATCTTATTAACTTACCACTTTACTGTAAATTACCAATATATATAATTCTTATAAAAAAATCACCACAAAAAATTTTACTTTTCTTTGGCTATAGGGTTTGTTATTATTATTATTATTATTTTACCTTCAAGGTTTTTCTCCTTATCGATTTACTTTGTAATTTTAGAGTTATTATTCTGCCTGAGCTATTATTATTATTATTATTATTTTCACCTTGTTTCAACCATAAAATTTTGTTTTTCCCATTTCAATAATTTTTTATAATATTTATTCTTTTTTTACATATATTTTCTAATTTTTTTATAATATTTATTCTTTTTTTAACATATATATATATATATATATATATATATATATGTAAACATTTTACAGTTAAAAATATTATTTACAGTAAAATATTAAATAAACAACATTTAATGTATTTATACTTTTTCTCAATAACTTATTATCATTTTTATTATATTAAAATTTAAAAAAAAAATCGATTAATCAATATTTAAAAATAAAAAATAAAAAATGAGTAACTATAGAGAGTACTAACATCCCGCATACATTAAATGTTAATAATAATATAAATATCTGTTAATATAGAGATGTTAACAATGCAAAGAATTATACAGCTTTGTTCATATAGAGTTGTTACAGTGTAAAATTTTAGAAAAAGATTAAGAAAAATAAATAAATTGTAGAAGTATCAATTCTTACAAATTTGTGAATCGGCTCTTCAATTTAAAAATTAACATGGATATATGCAATAAATGATCATTTAAAATTTTGTCTTTTTTCTTTTAATCTTAATTTTAAGTAAAAATAACTATTTACTTGATAATTAAGGACTTCAATCTAAAATTTAATTAATAAATTTTATTTAAAAGCTTTATGAATTTTCAAAATTGTTCTTGCAATGTTTTTAACAAGTCCTACAAATGTCGTTTTTCTGAACGTTCGATGCGTGTCCGAAAATGTCTAGCACATTGTGAGCGTTCGATACGGTTTCAGCATGGGTATTGTTGGAAGTTCGTTGTCCGAATCAATTACTCCTCAGTTACAAATACTTGCCATATTTATAGATTTTATAAATAATAAATTATTTTTTATTTTTATATTTATATGATCAATAATGATTCTTTTAATTTCTCAATAATTTATTATTAATTTAGATAAATTAAAAATAATATAATCAATTTACTTAATAATTTATTATAACTTAAATAAATTGTATAAGTTTCTTAATGAACATGAAATATCCAAATGTTGCGAGTATTTAAAACATGATTAAATATCAACCGACTATTATAGAACTAACCCCTATCAATGAAAAAAAAAAAGAAAAAGAAAAAAAAATGAGAAGGGTCAAATGCATGTGGTCCACAGCTCTAAGCGGCTATTCATATTACTCTCTTCGTCTCATAATTTGTATTCTCATTTGATTTGCACATGAATTAAAAAATTTTAGTTAATATAGTTAAATAACAATTTTTATTCCATTTTTTCCTAACATACATTTATTTATATCAAGATTTAATTAATAATAATGATTATTATATTACTGACAAGAAGCACGTTAAATAATTATAGTAAATTTGAAATGTTATTAACCAAAAAAAAAAAAACAGAATAGAGCATGAAAAAGGTAAGTAAGAAAAAGAAATTACAGGAGGGAGTGGTAATTATCTATATACTATAAATGAAAGCGTGACGGTGAACCATTCTTTAGGAATGGGAAATACGCAAAAAAAAAAAAAAAAGGGGAAATACGCAAAAAAAAAAAAAAAAGGAAAAAAAAAAAAAAAAAGGTCTTGACTGTGGAGTTGGAAAGGTTGACATCTTCCTTCCTTTTAGGTTCCATTTGACCTCTCAATTCAACAACTAAATATTCAAAAGCCAATTTTATTTATGTTGTTGCAATTTTCTGTGCCATATACATTTTAATTTTTATTATTAAAAACGTAAATACAATATTATCAAAGAAATTATATATATTAAAAAAGAAATTATATTTGAGAGAATTTTTGAATTAATTTATGCATTATCAAAATTAAGTCATTTTTAGTAGATTATTTTATTATTAATAAATTAATATCATTGTTGTAATGTTCCAAATAAAATCAAACCCTAATTCTGTTTGCAGATTTATTATATTATTATTAGTTGTACAAAGAATTAATTTATTTTATATTAATACTTTACGTTCTAAAAATAATCCCAAATAAAAAAAATTAACTTTTTAGGAAACGAAAAAAAAAAGCGTTATAAATTTTTAAAACATTAGGTGTTTTCTGTATTTGTCTTATGACTTTTGTGTATGAAAATATTTATATTAATGAAAAATTCAAAACCAAATTAAATGTACAGGTTATGAGCTGTGAGGCAGAATGAACACCTTTTGTGTGGTAGGTACAACATCATACGCCTTTCGTCCCAGCTCAAATCAATAAATAAGAGAAAAAAATTTTAGTCTACTCTTAAAAAATAAAAATTAAAAAAAAATTTTTGCACGACACGTGTCCGTCGGCCAAGCAACCACTTAAGCTCAATTGGCTATGTCATGTGGAAGACCCGGTCGTCGAACGCGAAAGCGAACTGGGGTTCACCAAACAAGCAGCCAATGCTCTTTCTAAGCTATTTACAATCTCCGTCATCGACGGCCGATCTCGGCCTTCTAACGTCACACAATCCGCCGCCAAATATCCTACGTAAGCCACCGCCTCTATTTCAAACGGTGTTGGAGCCGGTGCTCTCTTGTCCAAAATTCTATGTATCTCATCTTGTACAATGTATGGTACTACAAAGTCAACCACATTTCTTGGAACTCCATTTTCATTCTTGTGAATTGCTTTGTACCCTGATAATAGCTCCAGTAACACTACCCCAAAGCTGTACACATCGCTCTTTGTTGTAAGTTGTTGAAGTCTGTAGTACTCTGGATCCATATAACCTACTGTTCCTGCTGCGCGCAGGGATAGGTGGGATTCTTCATCGTCAGGACCCATTAATGAGAGTCCAAAGTCTGAAACTTTAGCAGTCCATGAGGAGTCTAAAAGAATGTTTGAGGACTTTATATCTCGATGGATTATCGATGGCACTGCATACTCATGGAGGTATTCGATTCCTCTAGCTGCGTCTAGAGCTACTTTGATACGTGCAGGCCAAGTGATTAGTGGTGAATTTTGTAGTTTGTGTAAATGGTCATGAAGTGTGCCATTGCTCATGTACTCGTAGACTAACACTCGTTCGTTACTCTCTTCGCAGAAACCCAGTAGTCGTACGAGGTTTTTGTGGTGGAGACGAGATAAAGATTCGAGTTCATTAATGAATGCATCGTCTTTGTCTTCTTGCCGCTTGGTTCCCACTGCATAGGAATTAAATGTGGTTGATGTTTCTGCTCTTTTGATAGCTATTTCTCGTCCTTCGTCTAATATTCCACGATAAACTGAACCGAAACTGCCTGTTCCAACTTTATTATCTTCAGAGAAGTTGTTTGTTGCTTCAAGTAGTATTTGCAAAGAGAACTCTTCTAAATGGCCAGCATTTCCCATGCTAGCTAATTGGCTAAGACGCTTTTCTAGTACTACTTGTTGTTGCTGCTGCGGTTGCTGTTGCTGTTGTCTTATACCTTCTTCGAGGGGTGCTCCAGTGTCATCCAACCGGCCTGAATCATGGATTCGACTGCCTCTAAACTTGCAGTATATAAAAAGAAAGAAAGAAATTGATAGTATCAATGCTGAAGATCCCACACAACCTACTACAAGAAAAGCAATCATCTTGTTACTCCATTTACTGCTTCCTGATGATGATCCTCCGGGTGGAGGTGGAGGTGGAGATGGGGGCAAAGATGGTGGAAATGATGGTGAAACTACAGGTGGATTATTAGCATTAGCATCACAATACTCACAAATAGATCCTCGTGAGCAAATGTTTCCAGTTCCTGCTAATATACCACAAGGACAGTCATTTCTACAAGGTCCAGGCATTACTTCATCAAACACTATTAAATTAGTGTTCAAAATCTCATTTCCCCAGCAAACCAAAGAAAAATTCGCTTTCAGAACTCCGCAAAAAACATCCCTTTTCGCTTCAATACTAAGAAAAAGACTCTCTCTCAAGCTTTCTTGCAAGCTGAAACTATCCTGCCCCCAACAAACTACTGTTTCATTAATCCTCAAACCACAAACACGGTTTCCTCCTAATGCGACTGAAATGAACTTATCCGGTGGCCAAACGATTGTTGTAGCTCCCCAACAATGCAAATCATTACGATCAGTTATAGCACAGGCATGCCTGAACCCAGCAGCAATCATATTATAATTCCCATTATTAGGTACTTGGCCAAGAAACCTAGAACTACCAATATTTGTGCAATTAATTCTCCCAGAAGATAACCCACAAATAAAATCTTCCCCAACTGCAATTTTCGAAAAATTCGAGGCTTGATATAAGCTAGCGTCAAAATTCCTCCATTGCCAGCATCGGAGGCTACCAGTGGCATTAACTAAGCCACATATATGAGAATAACTAGCTTTAAGCTCTCTAATGACTGGGCCTTGATATATTCTTTTATATTTAGTACCGTTGTTAGAGAATCTCCAACAAACTATAGTTGAGTTAGGTGAGGATGAGAAAGATAGTATACCACAAAGAAACCCATTTCCGGCAACTAACCCGGAATAAGAAAAATTAGAGTTAAAGGCCGGTACTTGAATTCCGGCCGGGAAACTTGAACAATTTAGATAAGATCGCGTGTCCAATGCGCACACCAATGTCTGATTAGAAGTCTGAGATATTGCAACAGTCGAGAGAGAAAAAATGGAAGGAAAAACAGAAGAAGAAAAGAAAATGAATAAGAGGAAAGAAAGAGTAGTTTTATTGGTAAAAAGAAAAGCCATAGAAATGGGTATTGGGATTTGATAATTTCATATTGGTTGGTGATGAGTATGAGATTATAGCAGGTGATGAATTTTGGCCATTTTTAAGGTGGGATTTGGTTTTGAAGAAGAAAAGAAAGGGATGAACGCGGTTTTGAGAGGGTAATATTTGAGGACCAAAGACTGAGTCATTTTGAAAGGAAATAAAAAAGGAGAGTAAAGAAAATTTAGAAATAGAAACAAAAGAGGAGCGTGTGGTTTGGTCAAGAGTGGAAATCTGTAATAATACGACTGAGCATTAGTATGGGAATTTGTTTTCTTTGTTCCCAAAACGACAAAATTGGATTTGTCATTAGAGATTGGAGTGTGATTGTGTATTCCCAAAATCTGGACATTTACATAATGTGAACACAGCACTTGTTTTCTTATATAGTTATAGGATCATAATATTACAATAATGATTCACTTTGATTTGATTTTTATTATTAACACATTCAGTTTACGGAAAAAATCGAAATTTTTTCAATTTTGTTCGATTTTTATGATGTTTAAAAAAAAAAGGTAAAATAATAATTAAAAATTAAATTAATATAACACAATTAAATCAATTTGATTTGATTTTCATTTTAAAAAAATTGAGTTATTTGGTTCGTTTTGATTTTTCATATAAAATCATAAATATGGAAACGGATTAAATTGGGATGGACCACCTTTTTGTGGTAATTCATCCAATAGAGGACAATCATTAAACTATTAATATAAAAAAATAAATTTGTGAATGATAATAGAGGGGAAAAGTAGAGGATGCATGCACATTGAACATTCAATGAGTTCATATCAAATGAATAAATTAAATTTTCATATAAAAAATAAATTAAACTAAATTATTAATAAAATTTAACTATCAAAAATAAGCTATATATTTTGATTAATTGAAGAAAAAAGTATACCCATTTTTCCTTTTTTTTTTTTTTTTTTTTTCATATCAAATGAGATAAATAAATTTTCATATAAAAAATAATTAAACTAAAATTTATAATAAAATTTAACTATCAACAAATAAGCTATATATTTTGATTATTGAAGAAGAACAAGTTATAGGCCATCTTTTTCTTTTTTTTTTTGTTTTTTTGTTTGAATGAATGTCAGACCATGAACTATTATTGTTGTATTAATTAGATGGTCTACTAGTTACATGATTGTTAATTTTAAGATGTAATGCGAAGTAAATGTCCAAAGATCATCAATCTGTTGAATTTTCTATATCAATATTTTTTTTTTTTTTTTTTTTTTTGAAAATTCAACCCCATAATATTATTTTTATTAATTAATTCTTACTAGTTACATGATTTGTTAATTAGATGTAATGCAGAAGTATATGTCAAAGATCAATTCAATCTGTTGAATTTTCTAATCATGATTTGGGGAAGGTCATATGCAATTATATAGATTTCTCCAAAATTGTAATAAACTATTTTTATAACAAAATTAAGTGGCTATCAATATATAAGATTCTTCTAATTATCATTAATCAATCCCATTAGACAAGGAGCAGTCAACTATACCCAAGTCCACTATTTTGACTAGAAAATTGCAAGACTTGGCAATCTAGATCATATGCACTCTGAAGAAGTTCTAGTGCTCTACTTCTTCTTTATTTTGTATTTTTTAATCCAATTCTGAAGGTCTGAAGCATTATTTGGTATATATATATAATACAAAAGCAATCATTAATTTTAACATTTTATTAATCTAAGGTATCAATATAATTATTGGATTTTTACCAAATAATTTGAATTTTAAGAGTTATTCGAAGTTCCCTTTAAAAAAATACATATCCTACTTTAAAACCCAATATCATTATTTTCACTCTTTTTTTAAAAAAAAATTATATCAAAATTAAAGATTAAAAGTAAAAGACGAATTGATTTGAAACATTTTGCAAATGAATTATCTTTTGAATTTCCATTTCATACTGCTTTGTGCGAGGATCTAAATATGATAATGATAATTCTTTCCAACTAATTTTTCAACTGCTTGTTTTCACCCCCTAATGTTGAAAAAATTAATTCATCAAAATGACAGTCGACAATTTAGCTGTAAATAAATCTCTAGTTAAAGACTCTAAATATTTAATTACAGATAGAGACAATGGCGGAGCTAGGACCTTAGGGTTAGGGAGGGCACTCATATATAGTATATTTTATGAGGGTTTACAAATTATAAATCTAACAATTTAAGAGGTTCACTTTATAGATATATTATTGGTTGTCTAGAAAATTTTTTCAAGTCAGGTGGTGTTTCGTGGCTCCGCCACTGGATAGAGATTCATACCCAATATATATTCTCAATCTCCTTTGAGGATCCATCTTTGCGCGTCGTGGTGGAACAATTGGTACATATATCGCACATCCAAAAATTTTTAGGTGGGAAATATTTGGTTCGTAATCGAAAATCAATTGCAAAAGGAGTATTTATGATAATTTGTTAGCCTGATGCGAATAAGTGATGCCACATGTAAAATAACATGTCCCCAAACAAAAATAGGAATTTGTGTTCTCATAAGTAATGGTCTTTCAATAAATTGTAGTCGTTTAATAAATGATTCTGCCATTTCATTTTGTGTGTGAACATTAGGTGTGTAAATGAGCCGAGCTGGCTTGTGAGCTGTTCGAGCTCGGTTTGAAAAAAGTTCGAAAAGTTTCAGCTTGAATCGAGCTCGAGCCTACTCGTTTAGCAATCGAGCCGAGCTCGAGCCTAATGATGTCCAGCTCCAAAGCTCGTCGAGCTTTATCGAGCTTTTATATATACATATATATAATATTATTTTAGGTTACTCGAGCTTCAAACTTCGAGCTTAAAATTTTTCAAGTTAAACTCAAGCTTGAAGTCGAGTTTGAATTGAGCTCGAGCTTTCATTGAGCCGAGCTTCGAGGCTAGCAGGTTCGAGCTCGGCTCGACTCATTTACACCCTCTAGTGAATATAGGCAACAGGATGTTTAATCAGTATTCCATTTGACATGAAATAATCATTAAAAGCCTGACATGTAAATTTGCCAGCATTATCAAGACGAATTGTCTTAATAGTATAATCTAAAAATTGTGCTCTTAATCGAATTATTTGAGCAAGTATTCTTGCAAATGCTAGGTTTCTAGTCGATAATAAAAATACATGTGACCATCTTTAGATGCATCTATCAAATCCATAAAATATTTAAATGATCCTCATGGTGGATGAATTGGTCCACAAATTTTTCCTTGAATATTCTAGAAATGCATTTGAATTTTACTTGGTGAATACCTAATAATCATTTTGCGTTGAGAACAAATAGGACATGAAAATTCATTAATTTGAAAAAATTTTTGGTTCTTCAATGAATGTTCACACAAGGACTCAAGAATTTTTTGTATCATTATTGATACAGAATGGCTCAACCGATCATACCAAATTATAAAAGCACTTGGATTTATAAGCTACTTGTTTACAACCATAGTAATTTCAATTGTGTGAATATGTATGCTATACAAATCGGAGGATAAAGAAGACAATTCCTCTAACATGACAGTATTTGTAATATGGAGATATTTTATATTATCTACATCTTTTGTGTCAATGTGATATCCATTCAAGTGAATATATTCAACTCAACAAATTTTTGTGAGATTTGGAAGAATAAGGAATCATTAATAATAAAATTTGTCCTATTAGGTAGTAATATATTTGCTCTTTCGAGCCTTAATTATTCTTTTACTACTAAATATTGTATTGACATAAGCTTCAGCCATTATCAAATGGAAAAAGTACTTTTTATCTTTATGTATGGTGTGCGTTATTGCACAATCAATAATACAAAAATCTGTATCCTAATTAATCCAACTAAGGAGGATTGAGTTAAATTCATAATTTTTTATGGATAAATAAATTGAAAACACTCAAATCTTATTTGGTTATGGCAAATCACGAGATAGGATAAAATCGTGTTGATCACATGTTATAAAATAATATAAAACTAAAGAGAACAATGAGAAAGAATAGAGAGCAAAATATGAGAGTGGTTTTTATTGACGAGAAACTACATATATATATATAGGCACATGAGTGACACATAATTATGAAAATAGACTTCTGTATTAAATAGACTTATAAACTAATAATGAATATAGATTTCTAGCATACACGGGACATCCACTAATTTCATAATAAATTTTTCTTAATTATCTTTTGATATTTTCACAACAACCATAATTAAAATCCTACCAAATAATAATTATCGAATCGTTAGTTATCAACTATCACAAATAACTAAATTGAATAGCCCTTGAATTTATACAATGCTACTCAAATTTGAAGGTTCTAATGCTTAAAAAAACAAAAAATTCAAGGCGTAAATAAATAAACTACTGCAAATGTTGAATGTTCTAAATGCTTAAAAAAAAACGACAAAAAATTCAAGGCGTTAAATAATAATATAAATAATTAAATAAATAAATATATATATATATATATATATATATATTAATTATAGGTATATATTATATATATTATAATATATATATATATATTATTTTGAGATTCAAGGATTTCCAAGGTATTAAATCTCAGTCCCAATGTCACAAGTTGTGCAAAGTTGAATTAGAAAATGAAGAAATAAATATTGCATTTATGTATTATTTTGAGATTCAAGATTCCAAGTATTAAATCCAAGCCCAATGTCACAATAGTGTAATTTTGTGCAAAGTTGAATTAGAAAAAGAAAAATAGTTGCATTAGAAGAGTGTGAGGTTATTCTAGAATTTAACGACTGCGGCGGATGTTAATCATGTTACCTGTAGGGAAATGAGCTAGTGCTTAAGGAAATTCTTGCCTGCAGGGTAAGAACTCGGTTAACTAAACTCAATTAAATCAAATTAGCTCGATTTTTTTATTCGAATATATTTTATGGTATCCAAATTCGAAACTAAATGTTATCATAATCGATGCAAACTGAATTAAATCGATTTGATTCGCATTGAATTTGGGTTTTCCAAACTAAATAAGCTATTTTAGTTTTAAAGATAAATTTGATTAGTTATATATAATAACCGAATCAAAAATTGAAAACCTACTAGTTTTATATATTCAAATCTATTGGTAACCAAATTTCTAAAATAACTATCCGAATTCCATTGAAATAAGTCGATTTGATTCGATTCTCGAGTAAAAACCGAGAATTGCTCACCCCTAAGTGCAGGCATGCATATGGCTCATTAGAAAATATAATTTTTTTTATTTAAAAGATCATTTTTCTCTAATTTTTAATAGTAAAAAGACATAGAGTTGTATATAAATTTAGAAATTATGTAACTTTATTTCCAAATCATGATCAATCACAAATATAATTTATTTCAATGTGAATATAATTATCTTGTCTAAGAATTCGTAGTTATATTATACTATGAGAAATCAATTCCAAATGAAATAATCTATTTTTTATTTTTGTAAAAAAATTGACATATCTTAATTTATTTTTTCTTAGTTGAAATTCTACAAATTGCGTACAATACACATGCAAAATTATAGAGATAGATAAATGCGTATAAATTGGTTAATTTACTGATTAATGAAATAAACTGCAACTGTTACAACTGCTAATGGTTTCAACTTTAATTATTTAAAGATTAGATTAGATTAGATATATAATTAAAGTCAAGAGAGATTGTTTCTGGAAATTTTTGACTTTGTTTTTGAGTTAGGCAGGAAGGTTCTAGCAAGTTTCATGGTTTTTGCTTTGTCTTCAATCTACAATAATTTGGTCCCATTTGAAATTATTTGGGACAAAGTTTTGAAATTTGAGAGTATAAAAGGTGAAGTACTTGCAACTTGCAATTCAACTTATATCCCTTTGAAACTGACTTTTGAGATCATAACATCTTTATATCTTCACCAAATAAGAAATGTCTTGAATTTTGTTTTTATTTTTAAATATGTGTTTTTCTAATGTTATAAAACTTTTAGAGATCACGTGATATTGTTTTCTAAATATGCAATGTGTAATTATTAAAAAATGAATGGATTTGTATAATAGGGTATATTCATTCAATTAAAACTTTGTTAAAATAATATTGATAACACATATTATATCAACACACAAGTAAGGTATACACAACCTATTACGACTATATTCAATACGAATAATTAAATCCAACCTGACGAGTTTGAAGTACGAGCAAAACTATAGTGGAAAATGATAATATTCTTTATTGGTACAGAAATCTTGTACTATTAGATACTAATCTTTTAATTACAATTCATTGCATTAAATTTTAATCGAGTAACTTGTTACCAACTGAACCCACAGATAAAAGAGAGATGATTCATAGCATACTGGTTTTGTCAATTTTGAAGAGGAACAAAGAATTCATTATCTCAAAGGAAGAATGATATCATTTACTGATTTGAGGGAACAATCATCAACATCCTTCTTCAATATCTTCAGATCTTAACTTGTGGCATGTTTTTTATCCTCATATTTTGAAATGTATCAGAGTATAAATCAATGTTTCCTTGAGCTTACATTGTCTTCTGACAAAATGGAAAAATGGATGAGTAAGCTGCATAACCAGATTATAAATGTCTTAGATAATAAACATATTAGCTAAAACCAATTATGTTGGTTTAAAAGTTCTTTATATTGTAGTTCCTGTTGACCTTTCTATTATATCTAATATATCTGATATGGTTTTGGAAAAAAAAAAATTCCTTGAACTTCCATTTTTCAGATTTTGAAGAACAAACGAGATTAGCTATGAAAGTTTATGTTATCAGCAGTTGATGTCATATGAAAAATCAATTTTTTTTGGCTTTGTTTATGGCATAGTTCCAATTAAAGGATTTGATATTTCTTTATGGCATAAAATTAGCAATTTTCTGCTTTTCTTTGTCATATTATTTCCATGATCTCACTGTTGTTGAAACTGAAAGTTCAATCATAGATTTCCTATGCATGGAGAGTTACGCAGAGGGAACTAGAGTGTTTATTCATAACAAAAAAGAAAGAAATACAAAATTTAAATTTTTATGAAAAAAATAAATAAACCGGTTAAGAAAACTTATTGTTGGTCTCTTTAACACGTGTATCTTAATAAAGCTATCTGTACTGATACAGAAATTTCATATTTGATATAATAGCAAAAGCCTTGAAGTATAACGGGTTGAGTAGGAATGAATCCAATAGATTTGAGTCAGAAGGTTAAAGTAATAAAATTTAGAAATAAATTTATGTATTCGGCCTCTCCCTTTATAATATTAAATGATGGACATCAATTGAAAATATGAATATACATTAAATAGGGGTGTATTAAGAAATTAAATACTCTATCTGTCCCACAAAAGCAATTCACTTTCTATTTTCACACAAATTAAGAAATATAGTTAAAAAATAATTTTATTCATGTAGCTTTCCTTTTATACGCATCTTAAATAACATATGAATAATTATTATATTAAAATAATAACTAAGAATTAATGATAGTTATTGAAAATAAGGTACAATTTAATAAGAATATAGTAGACAATTCAAGGATTAACTATAATACAAAAAAGAAAAGTAGACTATATTTTGAGGCAAACCAAAAAGGAAAAATGAACTATGGAATGAAGGGAATAATAAATGATCTTTTAAAAAAAGAAAATAGAATTACATTTTGGGACAGACGAAAAAGAAAAGTGGACTTATATAATATATGTGGGATGGAGAGAGTATATTTTGAAAATTTTTTGTAGAGTGATTAAAAAGTAAGTTGATGCAAAATAAATTTCTTTAAATTTAAAAAAAAAAAAAAAAAAGTTGGATGCAAAATAATTTAAAAAAAAAAAAAAAAAGAAAAAAAAAGGGTAAACTTTCGATTCAATAAGCATATAATAAACGTTAAACGAATTTCTATATTTCATGCACATTAATACCTTAAAAAAACAATCTAATCCATAAACTCTTATGTATGCAATCTCAACATAAATATTAGTAAACATTCACTTTTATCTTAATATATTTTTTTAAATTAAAGTTTTAAAATCTGAAATCTAGAATTAGTATTGGATCTCCTTTATTTGATTGTAGATTTTGTTGGCATCATCTTGGGCCATGCGTGTGGAAGCTTGCTGGTCTGGGCTTCATTTAGGAACTTGGTCTTGAAGCTCTTTTAAACTTGAATGAGTGGAATTTCAATTTTCCTAAGGGAAAAAAAAAAAAAAAAAAAAAAAAAAAAAAAAAAAAAAAAAAGAGAAGAGAATTATCCATTACTCATTTTAATCCAATTGTATGGGAAATATTCTAAAAATGCTTAATAAATAATATTAGGAGCTGATTCTTGTGAAAAAAAAAAAAAAAAAAAAAAAAAAAAAAAAAGAGAGAGAATTATCATTACTCATTTAATCAATTGTATGGGAAATATTCTAAAAATGTAATAAATATATTAGGAGTGATTCTTGTGTTTACTAAAGTTTTTCCATATATGGGAGGAAGGAACAAAACATCCTATTAATTAAGCGTATGCATCGCTAAATCATTAAAAATATTCCAAACTTTGCAGGTAGTTTTCATTATACCCTAAATTTAACTTCTTCTCTTAGTACTCTGAATTTCAATTTTAGTTACAATAGCATATTAATTTTAAATTATATCTAATTTAATTAATAAAATATTATTTTTGCTTAATTATACTCTTTGTTATGGTCAGATTAATTAAAAATTCAGTGTTTAACAACGCCCTAATTAATATTAATTAGAAATTTGAATTCATAAAAAGCTAAGTAAAATAATAAATTTTAGTTAGTTATAAGCATAAAATATTAGTTTAGATTTTTGTTGTGCCATTTTTTAAGCATAGAATTTTGTATATATTCAAGTTAAATCTCTTATAAAAATAGGTTTTATTCATTACCAAATCATTTTATTTTTAGGGAATTTCTTTGTTAATATTACATAAATAAATAAAAGTATTTTATTTTCAAGATGAATAGATTATTTTTTATTTTAAAATCTATATAAATAAATATTTATAAGCAGCAATGGTGGAGAAGAAGGCTACTTTAGGGAAAAAAAGTTAAATCGGGTCTCACAAAATACTATTTTATTCATTAAATTGGGTACAATTTGAAATTAGAGTGTTATTGAAACTAAAATTACAGTTCAGGATACTAAGAGAAGAAAGTTGGATTTAGATTACAATTAAAACTACTTGGAAAGTTAAAGTATTTTTAATGATTTAGCAGAGTATGCATTGGAGTTGGCCATCAAAGAAGCTATATTGTTAATTAGGTTGCTTATTATTTTATTTATTAAATATTTTCCAACAATAGGGAAAAAATTAGGGTTCATGTGATCTTATTTAATTTTTCTTTTCTAGCAAAACCTATTTATAATGATTTTATTTTATTTTATTTAAGAAGTTATAAGAAAATCTAATAAATGGTGATATTTTCACCAAGTATGTTTGATTTGTTAGGAAGAACAGAATCAAAAGGAAGTGAAATTTTATTGGAGAAGTGAATAAGTGATATTGGAGCAAACCAAAGCTAAGATTTTTATTTATTTTTCCAAACCAAAACATATATTCACAATTTCACTCCTCTAATTAAGCACTTGATCATACAAATATAAATACAAATACATATAAACTTAGAGTTATTTAAGAATGGATCTTGAAAGATGGACTATTACTAACTAGCAATAAAGAAAACATCAAAGAAAAAGCTTATCATTTTTGTCCAAATTGTTGTCTGGAGACCTGAAACTGCAAGGATCAGCATCAACAAGCATCTTCACTACTTCTCTCATTGTCGGTCGCAGATTCGGAAGCTTTGTTGTGCAGAGAATTGCAATTTTCAAGACTTTAATCATGTCTTCTTGAACAGATTCAGAAGAAATCTTTTCATCAAGAACTTTGAGTACATTTTTGCGATTATTTAGATGTGTCCAAACCCAGTAGACAATGTCTTTCCCTTCTCCATATGCGTCTTCAATAGCTCTTCTACCAGTCACTAATTCTAGTAGCACAACACCGAGACTATATACATCATTCTTTTCCGTCACTTTTAGAGTATATGCCATTTCTGTAATGCAAAAGCAGCATAAAAATTAGAAACCTGGATATTTGGATATGAAAGAAGGAAGAAAGGTTAGAAACTCACCAGGGGCAATATATCCATGAGTGCCAGCAAGACAGCTACTATCACAACTCTTGGAAGAAGACATTTTTGCAAGCTTTGCAACTCCAAAATCAGCAATTTTAGGCTCATAATCTTCATCAAGTAAAATGTTACTTGATTTTATATCTCTATGGATAATTGGTGGACAACAATCATGATGCAGATATGCAATTCCTTTAGCAGCACCTAAAGCAATTTTATACCTTTGACGCCAATCGAGCTCAGGCTTTTCGTCTTTAGTCCTTCGATGAAGTGCTTCTGATAGATTACCGTTTGCCATGTACTCAAACACCAAAAAGCTTGATCCTCCTTTAAGTAAACTTGCATATAGTTTAAGTATATGCCTATGCCTAATTTTCCCTAATATCTCCATTTCTGCTGCTAAAAGCTTAAGACCATCACCTTTCCATAGTTGCTTTACTGCTACTGTGCAACCAAGTCTCTTCAAATCCAACCGATAAACTTTTCCTGTTCCTCCACTTCCAATCAAGTTTTCCTCTTTCAATTTACATATTTCATCTGCATCAATATCCAGCTTATCGAACGATGCGAGTTTCCATTTCGGATCTTTTTGTCCTTCCAAATCCATTTCTGCATTCTTGAAGTTCCTGTAACTAACAAGTAGTAAACCAGCTAAAACAATAACCAATGCAGATATGATGGTAGACAATAAAACCGACTTATCACCTAGTGTTCTTTCTTGACTGTTCTTTTTCGCACAAACATTCAACTCAGAATTCATAACAGTTTTGGAATTTTCATCAATGCAAAGCTCATTATTCCCCATAAATGCTTTATCACCACCCATATTCAAAAGAACTGAAGGAATTCTTCCGGATAATTGGTTAGCGGTCAAATCAATGGAACTTAGCATTAGTTTCCCTATATCCTCCGGAATCAAACCAGTAAGTTTGTTCTGCGAAAGATTGAGCGTGTTTAAAGAACTCATCGATGAAATATCTTGCGGGATAGGTCCATTTAGAGAATTTGAAGCAAGATCTAAATCCACCAATCTAGTACAGTGACTTAGTTTTGATGGTATAGGTCCTGTAAATGAATTTTCCTCCAAATGCAAAGATGTCAACTGCTTCAAAGCCCCAATATCAGAAGGTATTTCACCAGAGAAGCCATTATTATTCAAGTAAAGCTTCTGCAGATTCATCAACTTGCCTAATTCTGATGGAAGCTTACCAGAAAACCTATTGTTACGCAAAATCAACTGAGTTAAACTGGTAGATAATCCAATCTTGGGGGAAATATGACCAGTAAAATCATTGTCACTGCAATCAAGTATAGTGACAAGTGGCAACGCCCAGAACTCATCTGGAAATTGCCCTGTCATTTTGTTCTTATTGATTCTGAACCTTTCTAAAGATTTACATTCTGCGTAAGAATCAGGAAACTCACCAGAAAAATTGTTTCCTAAAGCCAATAAGTACTGTAACTTTCTCCCTTCACACAAATACTTGGGGAAAGAACCTGAAAATTGATTCTCAGATATGTCGAAACTCTTTAGTGGTGAGAACCGGCCAAAATTCGCTGGAAATTCCCCTGAAAATTTGTTTCCATAAATTGAAAACCCATCAAGATTCTTCATATCTCCAAAACCAGCCGGTAGTTCTCCATGGAAGAAGTTGTCGTATAACTGGAAAACAACCAAGTTCTTCAAATTACCAATTCCTTCAGGAATTTTTCCATACATTTGATTCGAAGATACATCAAATTCACGCAAAAGAGTAAGGTTTGCAAGCTCTTGTGGAATCTCCCCAGTCAAGTTGTTGTGAAAGAACTCAATCTTGGAAAGTTTTTGCAACTTGGAAATTGATTTTGGGAATTCCCCTGAAATCTTGTTTCTTGACATATCAAAGGTTTCAAGATTTGTGAGTTGGGAAATGGATTCTGGAATTTCTCCACTTAAATGACAGTCTGCTAGAAACAACAAAGTCAAATTCTTCAAATTTCCAATACTTTCAGGAATTTGACACTCATCGTATTCATTTTGCCCTATAGAAAGAATGGTAAGTCCTGTTAGATTTCCTACCCAAGTAGGAAATCTGCCGGAGAAGTAATTCAATGCCAAATCAAGAATCTCGAACTTTTTTAAAGAAGACAGATCAGGTAAAACTCCAACCATGTGGTTTACTGACAGGTTTAATAATCTAAGATTGCTGCAATTAACAATCTCCTGAGGAAGCTTTCCAGATAGATAATTACTAGACAATGAAAGGGTAGTGAGGCTTTTAAGTTCAGAAATGGAATTTGAAATCTCACCAGAAAGAGATTTGTTGTCAAGTGCAATCGTAGTCACTTTCCCTGTTATGGGATCACAATTGATTCCAGAAAAATTGCATGGAGAATCCGATTCTTTCCAAGATTCCAGAACATTTAAAGGGTCTTTAAGCTGTTTTTTCAATTGAAGCAAGGCCCGAGTCTCAATGTTCAAACCAAAAGTAGGCAAGAAAATTGAGAAGTAAACGAAGGAAAGAAATGAAAGGAATTGAAAAGAAAGAAAACAGTTTCTACCCATTTAGAAAACTGAAAATTAGCTATCTAGCTAAACTGTTCATTCAGTTGTTGCCATGATTACCAACAAGCTGCACAGGAAAACAAAAAATCCATAGTTCAGCGTCCGATGCACCAAAAATTCAACAAAAGATATATTCGGTGTTATTAGATAGGACAGCTTACGGGCCCTCTTGTACCATACTCAGTAACTTACATTATTTACAGACCGACATTATGAGACTGTTTGATTCGGCCTATTAATCGGTTAAACTCATAGTTATTAAATCCGGCCCGACCCGGCAGATCAACCTGAAAACCGGCTTCAAAAGCAGACCATTTTTGCTTTTGAACTATTTAAGAAAGAGAACTGGATTGTACTAGCTGACTACGGTTGAATCAGTCAACCTGCACCAGACCATTGACCAAACTGATTTTTTTGATATTTTTAATTATTTTTATTATATTATAATTATTTTAAATTATAATTATTTAATTAATATATATATTTTTTTTGATATTTAATTATTTTTATTATATTATAATTTATTTTTAAATTATAAATTATTTAATTAATATATATTTATTAATATTTTTATACCCACCGATTAAATCAATGACTTATCTACTTAGTTATTTAACTGAATCAATATCTGGACCAGCGTTACACAAAACCTCGCTTCATTTTAAATTTACGTACTTTTTTTTAAATTTTATACAAAAAAAAATAACAAAAACGATTAAACATTTTAACTCTAGAAAAATAATATCAATTAAGTAAATTTAATATATATTATTAATATTTTTATAACCCACCGATTAAATCAATGACTTATCTACTTAGTTATTTAACTGAATCAATATCTGGACCAGGTTACACAAACCTCGCTTCATTAAATTTGGTACTTTTTTAAATTTTATACAAAAAAATAACAAAACGATTAAACCATTTTAACTCTAGAAAAATAATATCAATAAAGTAAATTACTCCTTTATCAGTTATTTAAATAAAATATAATTCCAAAAAAAAAATAAAGTTATAAAAAGTTAATTAATATTTCCTGTGAAAAATAAAATGAAATTAAAAAATTAAAAAAAAAGTGTCAAATTACAGGAGATAGAGGAAATAATGTTTTACTTATTAGAGCCTTGTGCACGGAAAATACTCTTTTGTTTTATTTATTTTTTTGTTTGGAATAACATGGTAGTATTAGTTAGTTAATTAATTAACTAATAATTAATCAAATCAATAAGTATTAACAACTGATGTATAGTGTAAGAATGTATTGTAAAATAAGCAAATAAAATCGAATACAGAAAGGAAAATTAAAGTTATATAATAAGGAAAAGGTAAAATAATTTAGAAGACTTCAGGTTGAAGAACAGACAAGAGAGAGAGAGTAAAGAAAGAGAACAAGGTGACGTTAGAACGTCAATTTTGTCTTTAGCTGTGGATTATTATTATAATCAAGAAAATAAAAAAGAGATTATACTTTGAAGTTACTCATTAATTAGTATTATGGGTTTAATTTGAATAGCAAGTAAAGAAAAGTACCAAAAAAGTAATATTTCTCTTAAAATAGTAATTATTATAATTCTTCAAATATATATCAACTGTTTAATCATGAATAATTCCCACCAAATTAGCAAAACAAGTACAAGAAATCATAACTTTTAATTAGAAGTTATATGAATACTTTCCCATGTTCATCATCCATTTTTGTCTTAATAATTAATGATCCCATCAATCAGGTAAAAAACAAAAGTTCAAAATTAGGAAAATAATTGCACAGTACCTGAAAATTGGAGTCGCGTCAATTTCTTGATTTCCATTATTTTTATAGTCCTGGAAAAAAAAGAATCATGAAAATTTGATCTTCAACGTGTTTTTTTTTTCCTTTAATTAACCAAAACCAGAAACATGGATATATATATATTTATATGTGTGTGTATACATATATAAAGGGAATGAAAAAAGATTCAAGAAATTACCTGCAGAAATGCAATTCTTGTGATGAATAAGGAAAAGGCAGGTTCTTGTTTCTGTTAAAAGACAATGGAAACTGGAATTTCTTTAGAAACGTAAACTTTTGTAGCTGAAAATAGAAAATTATAGTATCTTTCTGTTGTTCCTTTTCTTTTCTTGAGGAGAAAAGAAAAAAGAAAAAAGAAAAAGAAAGTTGAATTCTCGAAGGAAAAACAGCAGGCTTCTTGGATGGGAGAAAGTAAGAAACTCAAAGAAAGAATAAATAGGATTTGGTTTCCAAGAAAGGAAGAGAATAGTAGGAATCAGCCCAAGAAAAAGAAAGGGAATTCATTTCCGAGGAAAGCAAATGTTTGGGAACTGAGAATGATGATCAAGAAACAGAAAAGGAGCTTTAATTATTATTTCTGGAAGATAGAGGGAAAGGGAAGAGAAGGAGAGAATCTGCAGAGAAGAAATAGAGACAAAGATAATTGGAGAAGGAGAAAAGTTGGTCCAGTTGTTGTATTTTGTATGTGTTTCTGGCATTTAGTGACACCTCGTTTAGTGGGCAAAACTGAAAGGAAGAGTAACATCACACTGCTTGTTTTTCATTTTGTTTTATTTTGTTTTATTTTTTATGAAGTCATATATTTTGGATCTTGTTTTTGTGTGTAGTTTAGTTTCAAAGATAGTGATATGTAAAAGTTGACGTATTACATATCTAAGATTTGCATATTTTTACCATCTCTGTACTCAAAGTGTTTAACACCATAATTCGATTTTGCAGATATCTAATAATATTTTATCTCCATATGATATATGACATATTAATAGCTACCATATATTGATTATTTATATTTGCTGTTAGTCACAAGTTCTGGAATCTATAGATTATTGAATTTGTTCATGAAAATTAATTGAATTTCAATTTATGTTTAAGTTCAGAGTTGTTTTTGTCAATAAACGAGTTTTAATCCTAATATTATTTCGATCCAAGGTATGAATTAGTTTTGAAACAACTGGGCAAAAAATTTTGCTTTACCAATAGGAAGGTCTGAAGCCAGTTAAGTATAATTTTTATTGTTCTTTTAGGTTATCTTCTCCTCTTATACTTATTTATTTTTATACTAATTTGTCCATGGTGGCAGATCTTGAATAAAATATTTGGGGGCAGTCAACGGGGTATTAGTTGAGTTGCTAAATGACATCAATCTCTGTAAAGATGAGAATACAAATTCAGTGGTCAGGAAGCACATTTTATTAGCAAGGTAAATAAATTTTTACGTTATACAATCGGAGGAAAATTATGTTTCCTAATTATATAAGAAAAAAAATCATTTGATGCCATTTTGGGGAAGGAGCATAAAATAAAATAAAAAAAAGACAAAATTTGAGTACTACTTACAAAAAAATTGACTAAATCATTAAAAAAAAAACTCTAAATTCTGAATGTAGTTGTAATTATACACTAAATTTAATTTTATTCTCCTAGTATTTTAAACTTCAACTTTAATTACAATAGCACTCTAGTTTCAACTTGTATCCAATTTAATAAATAAAATATTATTTTCGTGAGAGTCAATTTAACCTTTTTTTTCCACAAATCAGACTCCTTTCCCATTACCGTTTCTTATAAATAAATAAATTTATATTTATATTTAGTTATATAAATACTAAAATAAAAAAATAATCAATTCATCTTAAATATAGAATATTTTTATTTATTTTTTATCACCAAATTCAATTTATTTTATTAATATGCCAGGAAGAACTTAACTTATACAAGCAATTGCCTAACTTTCAATTTCACTTCCAACTTTTCTGAGTAGTTGTAATTTCACTTTAAATCCACTTTTATACCATGGGCACCCTGAACTTGTCAATCTAGTTGCAATTACACCATAATTTACTTTCAAGATGTAACTGCACCCTAAAAGTGAATTACAGCGCCCTGGACTTGTCAATTTGTTACAATTGCACCCTAAAAGTAAACTAAGGTCGGAATTTTGATCAAAATAATGTAAAAAAATGACTATATACCCAAATATTTAAACAATAAATAATAAAATCAAATCCAAGTATTAATATAATAAATACAAAAATCAAGATTGAATATTTGATTTTAAAATTGAACTAATTTTAAGATGCAAAAACAATGAGTTGGGTTATTAATTCAATTAGGGTGTAATTGCAATTAGATTAATAAGTTCAAGGTGCTCATAGTATAAAGGTCGATTTAGAGTGAAATTATAACTACTCAAAAAGTTCGGGGTGAAATTAAAGGTTAAGCCTCTAAGCAACTAACCCAAGTAAATAGGCTTCCCAATACACTCATACCTAGCCTAGAAAAGTTAAGTGAAAAAACGTGGAAGAAATATACAAAAATAGATCAAAGAGCACAAATCATATTGTTTCTTCTTGAGATAAGATTAAAAACAACTAGACCAATATCCTAATATAAGAACATAAAAACTATAAATTTAAACCCATGTCACAAAAGGTTTCATAGAATCAATGTTATTTTTAGCTAAACAATTTGCAAATTGATTGCATTCTCTATTTACATGCTTAAAATCCATTTTGACCAAAGACGATATTAAAGAATCAAATTTATTAAAACAAACCCACCATTGACAAGATCGTTTATCCATTTGAGAGACCCAACACATGATGATTTTCTAAAAATAAAATGAGCCTATAATAAATAAAACATATTTTTATAAGAGATTTAATTTAAGTATAAACAAATTTTCATTCTAAAAAAATGGCAAAATAAAAATCTAAACTAATATTCTATTCTTGTAACTAACTAAAGTTCTTTATTTTATCTGGCATTTTATGAATTTAAATTTCTAACTAACATTAGTTAGGGTATTGTTAAATAATGAGTTTTTGGTTAACTTGACCATAAGAGATAGTGTAGATCCAATGAAAATAATATTTTATTTATTAAATTGAATATAATTTAAAATGGTGTTATTGTAACTAAAATTAAACTTCAAACACTACAAAAAAATACACTTTTGAGACCGATTACGTCAGTCGCAATGTTGCGACCAATTGCGACGATTGGGAGATTGAATATCCACCGACAGATTTGCGACCAAATGGCGACAGAATTTGCGACAGACTAGCGACCGCGAGTAGATCCGTTGCTAATTCTATCGCTAATAACTCCCGCCAGTTTGGTTTTCATTTTGCGACCCTTTTGCAACTAATTTGACACCGAATTTGTGACGGATTTGCGACCGATTATTTTAGTCGCAAATCGATCGCAATTTGTCTGACAACAAAATAACATCACAGAATTAAAAATTGCAACCGATTTTTTAATGACGTTGGTCGCAAAAAAATAGGGTTTTATAACCCCTTGGTCGCCTTGCATCAGCGTAGCAACTTCTTCTCCTTCTCCTCTTTGTTGCAGTGCCGTTTCCAGTCCTTCTCTGCTTTGTTGCAGCGTTGGTCACCGGAGAAGCCTCTCTTGCTAGAGATTACATCTTCTTCGCCTGGTCAGGTAGGTCGCCTTAGCTTGTTTTTTTTTTGTTTTTTGGTTTTTGGTTTTTGTTATTTGTTTTTTATTTTAAAAATTTATTTTTATCAATAACGAATTTACTTAATTCATAGGCAAATTTAGTTAGGTGTCATTGTAATTAACATATTAAAGCTTGTAATATTAAAGAACACTTTATTTCTTTATATGACTAATTTAAATTTAATTAGACTAACAATATAAATATAAATTTTAAACAACCAGCATGTGAAGAACATTATATAGACTTGGAAAGGTATCATTTCACTTGATATTGAAGCAAAGAATTTTAACCAACTAGGATGAGCTGCTAAATGAGAGTAAGTGTTTCACATATGTCGCGTGTAGAGACGTTTGACTCAACTCACCCAACACGGAGTATCTTTCAAACCCAATTTTTTTGGGTTTTGTTTCTCAATGTGTTAGCAAGAAATTGAGGTAGAAAAAAAAAAAAGGTGTAAGTTGCTCATATTTTAAAGACTAACTTTAGTTATGGTTTAAATTCTTAAATGTAATTAAAATCATACATTCAATGAATCGGTCAAGCCAAGATAGAAAAGAACGTTAAATACATTGCTTAAGAAATCCTTCATCGAGTTGAAAACTAAAATATTAAAGACCAATTTCAATCTTAGTTTAAAATTTCAAAGGCGCTAAATTACTGATTTGTTGAACTAAAATCATTAATTAATGAATTGGTTGGGGGTAGATAAGAAATGATGTTAAAGACACTGTATTAATAAGCAATGGAAAATAGTATATTTGAATAAAGAGATAATGGTAATAAATGAGTGCCATTTTTTCTTTGGTTTTGAAATTTATTTATTTGAAATTATTTTATGTTGATTTGTGTTTTCATTTGAGTAGAAATCATATGAATGATGCATTTGAGTTAGAGGCCTAGTAGTTGCCATTTTGAGTTTGGAGAATGTTGGGATTATATAAAAGTGTTTATGTGAGTGTCTTTTGACTTGAGATTTAATAATGTTATTGTCGAAGTGCTGCCGAAATTTTTTTAAAAACTGAATATGAGGAATTGTACACTTACTGATATTATAATAAGTTTATATATATATTATGTATGTATAGTTACCCTTAGTTAGAAATAATAACCTTAGTGAGTTTACAACATATATAGTTACTCTTATATTAGAAATGTAAATGGAACATTACTTTTGGTCTGTTTTAAGGATAATTTAGGACTAATGCAATTACATATAATTTGCCCTTTATAAAAAAAGTGTTAACTATGTAAAAAAATGCGGATTAATCAAGATTGGATGTACTGGAGGTATGAGGTTAATACGATATTAAAAAATAAATTCTTGCGAGGATTGGAATCGTTTATAGAGTTTGCAGTTGGTAATCCTAATTGTATGGATGGTAATAAGTTGAGATGTCCATGTAATCACAAGAGGTGTCAAAATAAAGCCCTCTTAGATATCGATACAATTAAAATTCCTTTATGCAAAAATGAAATAACTTTCTGGTTACACAACATGTGACATCCCGACCCGGCAAAGCGATCGAGGGAATGGCAGGCTAGCTAAGGTAGTGGAATGCGGGACACAAGAATAAATCGAATCATATATCGAAAAGGGAGAAACTAATAATTAGAGGCGCCTTTTGGTGGAATGGCTGGAGAGTTGGAAGAACTCCAGGGTTAAGCGTGCTCGCTTGAGTTTGGAAGAACTCAGGGTTAAGCGTGCTCGCTTAATAGAAAGTCTCAGGATGGGTGGACCTCCGACTGCTCACACTCTCTTCCGCCAGAGTCAGATGATAAGCATGTTGTGGTGTGACCTGTAAGACCAAGTTATACTCACGCGCTCGTGCACAGAGACATCGCGCGTAACGGCTCACGGCGGAGTCCATGAAGCGCGTGGAGTCAAGAGATTTCTGAAGAGATGAGAGGTAATACCATTCTAATTGTCCGAGGAAAATAAAGAGTACCGGGTATATTACTCACCAACATATGTGTTTGTAATAGGCGTAGTCACGTTC